AATCTTTTTGATGTATGTCAATTGGTAATCCCAGAAAGAAATACAAAAATTAATGGAAGTCGGGAGTTTCTCCGACCCAAATAAAGTTTATATATATTCTTAAAACAAGTCGATTTCAGAGACTATGACATTTGGACAGTTCCAATTCCCAAATGCAGATCAAATTTATTTCATGTGTTCGATAAGTTCCTTAATTAATATCGATACAAATCGATTAGCGATAGCAATGAAAGCAACATTTTTAAAGATATTCACTTCTAATCAGATATGTCAATATATTGATCAATTGGTGATCTCAATAAATTAAATTTTCTGCCTGTTCTGAATCTTCTATTATTTCCAATTCCAAAATTATTATTAATCTAAATAAACATTCAAAAGTCTGATAATCAGATAAGTTTTTTGTGAATTTCTGAAATTCTGGATTTAAATTTAGATTTAATTCGAATTTATTTTTTGTTTTTATTTTTGGAATTTTTTCGTTATTTTTTGAGTTGTTATTGTTTGTTTACTTTTTAATTATCTTTTGTCAACAAAAGATTTTATACGCAAAATAAATGGCTACTTCTAACAGCGATTCTTTCAAGGGTCTTTTTTTTTTTTTAGATGTTTATGCAATTTATTTATTTAACTTATAATTTTTTATATTTGATTCAAGAAAAGTATAAACAAGATTAAAACCTATTTTGATATATTTCATGGCGTACCTGTTGGTTCCGCAATTCTCTTGGTGGTACAAAACTGCTGCTGAGTTGCTCAGTTGTACTCGTATTATCTACTGTACATATAGCTGCATAGAGATCTTTTGGGGTCTTCTATGTGCACATATCGGTTTATATATATGTGTGTATGTGTAAGTAGGAGACTATTGACTGACTGCTTTCTGTGTTCAGCTTAAGATTGGGTATTATCAGCTGAGTGTTTGGCGCTGGAAGCTGCACTCATCTGAAAAGGTAACAAACAAACAGATAATGGATAGGATATTATTGATAGGTATAGTCCAAAAAGAGTTTACTAAATATGGAGACTACGAGTCGAAATCGCGAATTCAGGCATTTGCACTTCAACTTTCTTATAAAGCTTCAAATAAAAGAGTAAAGTAAAAAAGGCAGGCAAAATGTAATAAATATATATATATATATATATATATATATATATATATATATATATATATATATATATATATCTGTGTGTGTGAGAGTGTGTACATTTTTGGCTTTTGCAATGAGAATTTCAAAGTCAAGGTCAAGTAAAACATTTGGCTTCCTTTTTTATTGCCTTTGTAGAGGGTAATTTGATTTTGTCGTCAAGTTTGTGACGCTTTGATGGAAAAATCGCTCGAAGGATGAGTTGTTTTTTGTTGATGCAAGCTATGCAAAATCTTAAGCTATATGATTATTATTATGCTCTTACTATATTCTATAAATATATATATATATAATATGAATAGATCGTGCGTTGATTTCTTTTATAAAATACATTTACTAAGCTATGCAAAAGTTATCTAAAATAATATTCTCATTTCAGTGTTTTTTAAATGTTGTCCTAAAGCTATTGAGATCAGGGTACTATATAATATAGCTGCCATAGGAACACATTGGTCGAAAGAAGGGAATTTGCACATGCTTACCAAAATTTTAAAACACTCTAATTAATATTTTCCCAAAATATAATCCATATCGGACTACTAAATCATATATGTATCAGTTGATGGATATGTTCTTTTAAGAAAAACTTTTTTGTTTGCCAAGTAATCTTAGCCAAAATTAACCAATAAGTATTTCAAAAAAACAATCACCTATATTTTTATCTATATATTAAATAACATTCAAAGAAAAATACATTCGGGTTTTTTAAATATATAGTAAAATTTGGTTGTTGGCAGTTTGACAGCAGTCTGCAAGGGTATCTAAACTTTGGCTTCGACTTCCAATTCTGTTTTTTTCTTGTTTTTGCAGATTTCTGGTTTGCCTTTTAACATTTGCTTCTTTGTCTGCTGAAGCGAAGACTGCACGTGCTTTTGTATCTGTATCTGTATTTGTATCTTTAGCTGTGGCTGTAGCTGTATCTGCAGCTGTGTCTGTGCCTGTTACGAATATCTAACAGCTAAGCATGCGCAGTGATGTTGTTGCAGTTGTTGTATTTGTTGTTGTTATTGTTGTATTTGTTGTTGTTGTTGTGTCTGCTTTTTGCTGTCTGCTGTTCACTTGATCAAGCACAAGTACTGCGCTCGAGGGCCTTCAGTTCATTATTGCTGCTGCTGCTGCTTCTGCTGCTGCTGCTGTTGTTGCTTTTTTGTGTTCATATTCTCAAAGTCCTCCATCCCATGAATGCCATGTGTTGTAGTATGTGGCATGTAGTGTGTGTAGTGTGCAGTGTCTGCCACGACAAGGAATTCCAATTTCGATTTTTATTTTGCTGTTTTCTTTAAGCCCAAAACTTTTAGGAGTGATTCACAAAAAAACTGTTTTGCTCAAATGTCGTAGGACAAAAAATCGACATGCATGCCACACTCATTAGATGCAGCTATTTAAGTTGCAGTTGCACAATGGTTACAGTTACAGTCTGTAAAAGTCATCAGTTCAATGGCCCAAGCGAACAGCAGCTGTTACTCATACAACCGACAACAAAGCGATATTAAAAAAATGACGTGGTTGGGATTTTTGAATATCCAGGAGTTCTTTTTATTGTTAAATATATAGGTTGAAACATAACTAACAATAAGCTCAACGATTTAAACTTTTATTACAGAAAGATTATGTACCCTTCAAGACCGGAGCCAACCTATCTGCGTCTAACTCTTACTATAAATCACAAAAATCGAAGAATGGTTTCCATGAAATATATATGATATATTTGCTCAATTTTGATCATTTTTTGTGCAAATCTGAGGAGCCTAATAATAATAATATTGGATAAGTTTGATAACGATAAAATTGTAAACAGGGATATATTAGAACTAGTTTAAGTTTTTGCTACTTCTCTTCATATCTTAATCTCAGAAAAGCCTAATTTGTTTAAGTTGAATTTATGAATCCAGGTTCAGCAGAATATCAATGGATTAATAAATATAGTTGTCTAAATCTGTTTATTCACTTCACTTACTAGCATATTTATTTATTATTTCATTTGTGAATTAAATCTAACAGAGCAAAAATTAAGTTGAAAACACCTCTTTCAAGCATTTGGTACTTTTGGCAACAGTGTCGAAAAGATCTTCTCTTTGAGTCATTGTTTTTGCGATTGGTTGCCTAACCTTGAATGTATTCGCATTCGGAATGGAATGGCTCAAACATGTTTGGGGGCTAAAACATTTCCGTTGCGATCTTCGCCGCATTCTGCATTTTAATATCAATCGGTTCATAATTCATAATTGCGTATTTTTGACCAAAACGCAATGGAATTTAATTAATAACAGATCGCCGCTGCTTAAAAGTAACATTCTTTTTTTTTGGGGGGCTGTTACTCAGGTACTCGTTGTGAATTTTGATTAGTTAAAAAATGGGCAGAAAGTAGTCTCAGTACAGACTTTTATTTTTTAACAACTGGTTCACTTTGGAGTATAGAATTTTAGAGTAAGCCTTAATGATAATTACAGGTAGAGTTAACTCACGAAAGTTTATAGTACACATATAAACCGGCAAAAGTAAGGCATACAAGGGGAGGTGAAGAGCTGCAAATGCCACAGGCATCGTCAGAGCCACAGACTGAGTCAGACTCGCAGTCAGTGTTGGTCCGAGTCCGAGTTGGAGTCGAAGTTGAAGTTGCAGCAAGCCGGTCCCGGTCAAAGCCAAGTGCAGCGCAAATGGATGTATGGCTGGCGATGCAGATGGAGATGGAGATGGCAACGGAGATGAGGATGAGAAGATGGAGGCCTGCTTGCACTTATTAATGCTTAATAAATGGCATTTCATTTCTTATTATTGTCGGACTGGGCGCGACGTGGATATGTCCGACGATTTTTATTGCAGGCCTCATACTCATTGTTGTTGAGGCTGTTGCTGTTGCTTAATGCGAGTCAATATATTGGTCATGACTAAGGATGCACACACACAGACACACACACATATAACGAGAACAGGGCAGTTATTCAGCGTCAGTCCGTCAGTCAATGTGTGCTAAAGTAATTATTTCATTTGAGCCAACAATGAGGCTGCAAAAGTCTGGTCAACGCTTTGAGCGACTGCTGCTGAGATGGACGTGGAAATTAAAGAAGCTGGCAGCGGCATCAGGACGAGGCATTGACCGCATGCGCGTCCGCGTCCGCCTTATGTTTCATGGCTCACATGATAACCATTTTCAGTGCTTTTAACGACTCAACTTTGGCGTTGCCTCGCCTGGGCCTGGCCTGGGCCTGGCCTGCTCTGGCTTGTCCTGAATGCTCATTTTTTAAGTACTCGGGAATGTAAATGAAGCGGGTGTCTGTAGCGGCTGCACTTCACAACGGCTGCTTAATGTTAAATTCGAGGTCTTTTGGGTCATTGCACTCACTCCATAAGCTAACTTGCCACTTGCCACTTGACCGCTTGGCCACAATTTATTTGTTGCTAAATATTGCTACACACACAATTCACATGACATATATTTATTATTATTTTATCGTAATTCTAAATAATTTAAAGTATTCATTTTAAATAGGTTTTAAATTAAAACAAAATTAATTTTTGTATGCGGTTTTAGTTTGAATTATTTACTTTGGCGCCAAACGTGTCTAGGTTATCGAGCACACTCGCAATCGATAAACAGTCATGCGCATTAGCGCTGCTCTCACTGTCTCTCTGCCTGTCGGAGAGCGGAACTAAAGTTCATTAGTGAACAAGTATCTTTGGTTCGGTTCATGAGTGTGTAACTTTAAAACTAGTATGCTGAACTATACTGACAGTAGTTTCACTGCTCATTAAATAATAAGTCAGTTCATTACGCTAATTTGCCTAAATAAAGAAATCAATAGTTGGGAATAAATAGCAATATTGTAAGCGAACACTGTGAACTAACTCACTGTGAACAATAAAGCAAACCGCACTCTCTGAGAGTACAATCAATGTGACCAGAGAATGCACTGGTAGTTCTGTGTTAAAAATCGAAGACGCGTTGAGCGAAACACAAAAAAATAAATAAATAAATCAAAATTCAGTAAGTTAGAGACAGTGTTTTGTTTAGACTTTAAAGTGATATTTTAAATACCAATTGCAGATGCAAGCTACGAGCTTAAATGCAGCACCAGCAGCAGCCGCAACCGGCGCCGCCGGAGATGCAATAGCAATGCCATTGCGGGCTTGCAGCATCAGCGGCTGCCAGGTGAGCAAATATGTGGAAGTGACGAAGCGCAAGTGCTCGCAGTTTGTGTCGGCCCCATACATCATTCCCAAGCCGCTGGTGATCAATGGCAAGACATCGATATTCCAGGTGGGCGGCGAAATGGCCAAATTGGGCGACATCCCAGCCCTGTCAGCGGCAAGCGGCGCCGGTGCCGGCAGCAATGGACAACCCATCTATCGGATTAAGCCTGGCACCCATGCGCACGTCATCAACTATGTGTTCATAGACGAGGGCTCCGACTCCATGGAAAAGGCCAAGTCAGAAGATCCCCAAGCTATGCGCGTGCTGCTGGACTCCCAGCGCGACAGTGCCATAGCTAAGTTGCAGAAATTAATAGCAACGCATCGAGGTCTTGCAGTGGCTGCAGCTGCCCCAGCGCCTGCTGCTCCGGCTACTGCACAGAACACAGCAGCAGTCACTGTCACAACTACAGCGCCAGCTTCAGCTTCCGTTACTGCAACAGCTGCTGCAGCTACTGTTACTGCTACTCCTACACCCACTCCTACTCCAGCTTCTCTTGCTGCAACGCCTGAGGGCAGCAGCGTGAACATAACCACACCTCAGATACATCCCAACTTGTCTATAGCTAGTGTGGCCGGTGCTTTGCCGCTGGCCGCTGCTGCAACTCCAGCATCAGCGCCAGCGCCAACACAACCAGCTTCAACTCCAACTCAAGCTGCAGTTTCAGACCCAGCCCCAGCTGAAGAGAATTCCATTGACCAGCTGCGAACCAAGATTATCAATGCGCGACGCAGTGTCGCACGTGTCTGCGGTCGTCCGATTCCCTGAATGGAGTGGACTTAATAACCAACAATAGATAATAATTTACTTATAATTGTTAGCAAATACGCTTAATCCTTTGCTAAAATATGTGCTAGATTTAATAATAAAATAGCTTTTAGCTTAGCTTAGCAACTATTTGGGGTTAATTAAATGGACTATTACTGAGTATTGTGCTGAAAATGCCTGCCTGGTTTTCGAGGTAGAAAAATGAGAGTTTGGCTTGCTTTCGTGTGTTGTACACTGGTCATTTTATGGAGCTGAACTTTTTAATGAAACCGACAAGGGATAAACTGTCGTGACGGTCGCACAGATTTGCCATCCACATCACACACATACAGACACACACAGACACGCGCACAGCAACAGATTCACCACAGTTGTATCTTAAGGGGTCGTAAATGTGGAATTTTATGTGTCATCCGTTGAGGCGGCAACGGCAACGGCAACGGCTTCGGAGTTGTCCACTTCGAGGCGAAAACTTTGCAATCGAACGTAAATTAATTTTTATGGCCAGGACGGGTGAGGCGATGCCAAAGCTACTTACCACACCAACAACAACAACAACAACAGCTGCAACAACAACAATTTGCACTCAAAGAAGGACTCAGATATGTTTAAGTATACCTATGGATATATAAAACTCACAAATGAAATACACAGATAGCAAATTACATTTTTTATTTAATCATTATAAAAAGGACCTTAATTTTGTAGCATTTCTTTGCATTTAACACATACAGGAAAAAATACTTGATTTTGCTTCATGAAAATGATAGCAAAATAAGCCACAAATATTATATAATATTTTATCAATTTTATTCTACAAAATAGATATTGTAATGGAGTAAAGTAAAGTAATAGTTTATTTACAAAACAAATAAAATCAAAAATTAATAATAGGTTTATAATAATTCGTCTTTATAAAAAGATTGTGATTTGTTTAACTGCTGATTGGGGGAAAATAATTATAATTTAATATAATAAATTGAAATGTATAATGAAGTAAATTTCATATAAAGCAAAAGTGTATAATTCAATCAGAAATATAAATAATAAAAGTAGTGAAAGTGAATATGGATATAAAGTTAATAAATTACATATACATAATGCGAAAAAAGAAATCAAATCAAAAAAGAAAATAATAATTTAGATAAGTTAATTTTACATTATAATTTAAATTTAATTTAAATTTAAACATAAATCGCAAAAAGTGTGGAATTTTCATTGGAGTTGATGGTAAGAGAGGTTTTCAATATACCAAAATGTAATTAAGAGAGATTCTTATATTTTGAAGTACTGAAATGATTGGGTATTGTTAAGTTGGTTAGACTGGCAAAGATTTTGTAACTAGAGGAGATTGATTGGGTAAAGAGTTTTGAGTCTTGAGGGTTAAGTGCCTGGTCGACTCGGAAATACATCAAGGGAATAGTTATTATTATTCAACTCTTCATTCACACTCCTTTTGAGCTTATGGCTCTTCCATTACCACTAAAATGAATGCACAAATCGGAGCTGATTACCTGTTTCCTAGAATGATACACAATTTGAGGAACGATATTTTACCAAAGATCTAATAATTAAATTAAATGTTGTTGTAATAAAAAAAATAAATTGTAAACACAAGAGAAGAAAACTACTACTTGTAGAAATCAGTAATTATACCTGAAGCTACTAAAAAAATAAAAAAAATGGTACAATAAATTGTTGTAATAATAGTACACTATTATAATATATAATACGAGTTATGCTTGTTCTTGTTGGTGGGACAAGTTGCATAGCTTAACTTGCAACTTGGCAAATGGCAGCTTTCACAGCACTCAGTGCGACGAAGATCAGGATACGATTGAGATTAAGGCAATGCAATGCTTTAAGTCAACACACACACGCACAGACACACACAGAGACTGAGCCACACACATGATCCTCAGCCATGATCCTCGCGGTCGCATAAAAAGTAACGAATGTGCGCAATAATAAAAATCATTAAAATAAAAATGTTTATGAGAGTGCATAAAGACGACTCCACGAAGCGAGGAGAGGCGGGGCAAGGTGTAGCGGAGGAGGCTGGTCGGGGGGTGAGAGCGGGGGCACGCAAGCCGCCCAAAGCCGGGGCACTTGATGGCCGTTGAGCGTCGCAACGCAACGCGTGGGTGCGGGGTGTGTGCGGTGTGCGGGAGTGTGCGTCAATGAGGCAAAAGTATCTCTGCACATTTGTTTCGCTCGCTGGCACTCAGCAAAAGTCATGCACACACACACACATACAATCTTGAGGATTGGGATGCTAACTCATTTTGGCGGCTGCTTGCTGCCTGCTGCCTGCTGCCTGCTTTTGTACCTGTGACGAGGCAGCTTGCGAGACGCAGACGCAGGCGCAGGCGCTCAGCTCAAAAATAATTTGCAATTTCTGAGAAATACTCGCTGACTTTATGCGCTGCCGTCGCGCAGCTTCTCAAGAACCTTGCCAATATGCGGTGTGGCCGTAATGAAAATTAAAATACGAAACACTCTTCTACCCAAAAGGTCGACCAAAAAGGAGCCAATGAGCAGGCGCAGCACCCCAGCAGCAACAACTCACCCCCCTTCTCCCCTTCTCCACTCTTCCCACTGTTCCCTCTCCACCCGCTTCGCGTCCAGCTACCCCCTGCACTGAGTGGACGCTTGGTCGGGGATTGCTTGTCGTTATCTTGTCATGTCAAAATGGTCTTACGAAAATGTATCTTTTGTATTCCAAGTGCAAATGAGCAGCACAGATACAGAACAACAACAACAACACCCCTCCACACACACACGCACACACACACACACACACACATACAGTGCAGTCCTCGTCTGTCCTCGCAGTTTTGTTTCCCTTTTATTTGTTTGCTCACTCGCAATTTTTATGCCTTTATTGTGTTTACTCTTTGCCTTCGTTTCTGCAAATGCTTTTAAGACTTTAAGACTTTTTAGTTTGTAGTTGAGGCGTACAAATTTGTGTGCCACCCCCCCTTCTACGCTTGCCCCTTTTGCGGACACAGAAGCCCCAAACAGGAACAGGATTGACCACTCCACACACACACCGACTGTATCACTTCTCTCTCTCTCTCTATCTCTCACACTCCCTCTCTCTCGCTCTCTGTTGAGGCTGAGAACTGAGACGGCGGCTGACAATGATGATGACACAACATGAAATGGTAAAACACGCTGAAAAATATTAAATACGCTACGTCGCTGCCTTTTGACAGCGAACGTAAATTTTGCTTTTGCCCCTGTCTCCCTCTCTCTGCCCCTCTCTCTCTCTCTCTGTGTCTTGGCTGGCAACTGGTGCCCCCCCTGTCCTTTGCTGTTTAATTGCACATAAGAACGAGGCACCGAGGCACACCAACTGTGATTGTGTGGATTTCTCGGCAATTAAAATAGAGTGTAAGTTAAGGATGCATAAAACGTTGATCTTTATATGTATTGCACTCCAACGCATTTCTGTCACTGCGCACATCCAGCCCGGCATTTAGTATTGTAGTTTTTATGTATTCCTGGAAGCCGGCATGGATCGCACTGTGAACTAATTGAACATGCATTTATTGGCACTCAGCTATTTATACTACTACAAAAATATCAAATCGAGCACTTTGTGGATTAACTCAGTTTGGCACAATCACAAAAATATCTACAAATAATAGTACAGCTCTGGATTTGCGGGTTATTTATTAATTCCAAAGTAACTTTTTCTAAAATGTAGAAATTAATATGTTTAAATTCAAGGGTGTTTTTTCATAAATAAATATATGGGAACATTCTGTATAATAGCAAGCATTTCTCAAAAGTAGAAAAAGCATTTATAATTTTTAGATTTTTTTTTTTTTTTTTTTTATGTTTTAGAAATTAGTTCTAAAAATCAGAAACACTTTGTAACTATTTTAAGAATTTTTTAAGTTAAATAGGATTATTTCCCGTTTTAAAAGAGTTACAGCTTAAATAGAATACACCTGTTATTTATACATCTGTACCTTTTTGACAAAAACATATAGTTGAGTAAACAAGCTGTCAAAATCCAAGTACAGCTGAGAAGGTTTCTGTTTCAAGAATGGTTTATGTTAGCCCGAAGGATAAGACTCATTAGGAATAAGTATAATAAGTATAAATATACTCTTTATAAAAGAACGAAGCTTCAAATTATTTGAAACAAGAATAAGTGGATTTTATTTAAAAGTTCTTCCTAATTTAATCACTTGAACATTTAAAACTGTAGCACAAAAATTTGTATCATGATTTTGTTGTTGTTGATTTGAATATTGATTGTCGTAATATCAAAATTACTGATTTGAAAATCAAGAATAAATTGTATTATTCTATTAAGAATACGCTTTATTTAAAAATAGTTTGTTTTATTGTATTTAATAGTAGAAATTCTATTGCGATTTAGAACAGCGCTTTGCTCGGAGTTAAAGCTATAAAGTACAGATCTAAATATGCCCCAACCAAATTGAACTGAAGTGAAATGTGTCAAATTTAATGAAATAAATACAATTTGCACACCCACCGAAAGAATTATGAGAGCAAATTAAATCTTGCATATCGCCGGGACTGCGATTTGCACTGGGACAGAGCTGAGGCAGCATTGACATGTGTGTTGAGTCTTGTATATTTGTGTTTAGATGCTTTGCCACACTACACAAAGGCAACAACAATATTATGCCACCGTCAAAATGAAGATCAAAGTCTGAAACTGGCAATATTGCCGTTTCCTGTGGCGCGCCCCAATAAAAAAAATAAAAATAAAAATTAAAGAAAGAAAAAAAAATCAGGGCAAAAATACAAAAATAAGAGAAAAAAATAAGAAGATCGTCTTCGTCGTCCTACCGCATTCTAAGTTCTATTGGCACAAAGACCGACTTTTGCATCTTCTTCTTCTTCTGCTCGCTGGGATCTTCTGCGCCGCTTCTTCTTCTTCTTGGTCTCTTTCTTATTCTTATTCGGTTCGAATGCATGAAGTCAGTTTCAGTTTCGCAGCAGCTTTCCGCGTTTTTTTTTGTGGCGTATTTTTTCGCGTATCTGTTAGATGCGGATACTGATGCAGTTTGTAGTGGTAGCGAAACTTGTTTTTAGGCACTGTATCTTCAAGATAGGACAACACACACACACACACTACACACTTCGTTTGCCTTGCTCAAGTTCCCGTTCTCAAGA